CCAAAAACTGCTCAACATCTTCTGACATAATTTCTTTCGATAAACAAACTTCCAAGATGGCGATCGATGAAAATGGCGGGAAACATGACTTGATAACGAGGCAGAAATGGCCGAGCGGCTCGCCCCAGTAAGATTAAATATGTTTTGCAAAAGTTCAAATCAAAATAAGAACGCGATATATAAATACAAAAAAAAAGCTTGCTTCCAAATCAAAAGTTGTATTCAAATATATCAGCATGTTTAAAATTTAACTAAAAATAAATCTAAATAAAAAAGTCTAAATTCACATGTATAATCGGTTTAAATTCAAATAATAATGTTTAAATTCGCATAAATATAGTATAAATTCACAAATATATGGTTTAAATCAAACCTATATTACTAGGTTTAAATATTGCTACACATGGGCAGGCATACTGTACAATGCTATATTACTTTAAAGAAGCTAGAAGGAAATGTGAATTTGAAAGTTGAGGAAGTTGGTACAATATTGTCAAAGGAAAAACCTGGATTGGGTGCAAGTTTGGATAGGAAAGTTTTCGACCCTCTTGCTGATGGCATGAAACTAGGAGGTTTGGAGGTAAAATGTCCTTTTTCTAAAAGAGGCATGACTGTAGAGCAGGCATGTGAAGACAAATTTAAGCAGAGTGAATAGAGGCAGGATTACCCTTAAATCTGACCATCAGTATTATTACCAGATCCAGGGTCAGATGTTTGTCTGCAAATTCCAATGGGTTGACTTTGTAGTTTGGTTGGAATAGGTAACTTGTTTGTAGAACGCATATACTTCAATTCTAGGTGGTGGTACCAAAAAATATTACCACGATTAGATTTTTTTTACAGGCGGGCTTTCTTACCAGAAGTGTTAACCAGGAGAGTCAAGCGTGGGGTACGTCTATACAAGCATGGTGGGTGGGAGTGTTACCAGTCTTTTGCTAAGAGAAAGGCAATTTAATTGCTATAAAAAATCTTCTTAATCATTTGATCAAAGAATTTACGCAAAGCTGTAACTATGCTAGTTTGTACCCAGTGATATCTAGTTCTTTTTACTAGCATTTTAGCTTATGTTATATAATATAGATTATTTATGTATATGTAAATTATATGAAGTTTTTAAAAACAGTTAAAAAGAATTTGACATTACCATTGAGTTAAAGGACTATAATTTTTAGATTTTGCTTTACAGTGATCAGCATCATAAGTTTTGCATCAGGTRTCTTTTTATAAACCTACAGATTTGATCAGGGTAGTGTATTATAGTTGTGTTGTGTTAATCCCAAAAGTACAATCACTGTAGGTGTTAGMAAATAAAAACTACCCATAGTCAAAAACAAAAGTTAAGGGAGATGATGCAATGAAGTCTGTTTGTGTTAATTGTTTCTATACTGTGACTCCATTAAAAATGCTAGTGAAATAGAAATGAAATGATTACTGTGTAGTTAATTTACCTTGTCACATAACAATGGAAACACAAACACATACAATATTCATTGCATTTAATATGTTTAATATTTTCTAGAGGTGCTTTCAATTACAAATACCATCATAATTATGCTTATCATTGATGATACCAAAACAATGAAACAATTGGCATATTTTTGCTAATCAATTTTGCCAATAGATAGAGTTGTTTTGATAAACCTGTGAAAAAAAAATCAAAAAGTAATAGCCAGAATCAATCAAAAGAAGTAATACTTATGGCACTAACATTTATTTCACTGGTTMATGAAAATCACTCTCGTATCCCTCTCTTGTCAAATTGTGAAATTCCAAAAATTACTGCTATTCATTACATTTGYATAAATGTCATTCATGTATGAAATATAGATTGTTACTTAAGTTCAGCTATTATTGTCTTGTTTTTCATTTCGGGGAAGGAGTGGGGCTAAAGTGTTAGTTAGATAAGAACACACCGTAAAAATCTGATCRGACACATGTGCTAAGCTTAAAGGAAGGGTTCCATCTAGAATATGATAATTCTTTACTCTGCCTATCGCTYGCTCRACATGAATCCTCACTGCTGCTATGCGAGCAGTTTCTTCAACCTCTTTAGAACTAAGTTGCGCTCTCTCTCCTTTGAAAGGGGGGATATTGAGCTGTACTCCTGCTGGTAAGATTGTCAAATCCTCTATCTGCCATGACATTGTCACCTGGCTTAAGGTGGTCAATTAATCCAGAATGCTGAGTGATGTGAATATCAGAAACCCTCCCACCCCAAAGCTTGGAAACAAAAATAACTTGTACGTTTGGAGAGATCCCAACTAAAACCTTAAAAGTATTTTTGTGTTTATAGTTAGACTCRCGCCAACTGTGATTTTGCACAGCGGAGATGTCATAAACAAAACAAATTTAATTACCATAGTTTCGTAGTAGCACTAAAGATAATAAAACTTTAAAAAATACGATATATTTTTTAATATTTTTTTATATATTTTTTTAMATATATTTTTTAGATATATTTTTTATTTTTATATTTTTTAATCTTAACATGTTTCAGAAGAATGAGGATGGCATAATGTAATGCTGAAACATGTTAAGATTAAAAAAATATATATCGTATTCTTTAAAGTTTTATTAAAACAAATTTAGTTGSTGTTAGCTCTTGCAACAACAATAATAGCATTCTCTCTGTTGAATCCAGTCGTTCTGCTTACTATCGGTGTCGCCATCTTGGTTGGTGTGCAAAATGTTGAGACGTGGATTCAGTGTGACGTCGAAATAATTACCACATTTATGTGACGCCCGTCCACACGGGAAATTATCGATATGTGACAATTACATAAAAACTAGCATGCCAGCATTCCCGCAACTACAGTTGTCAAATAAAATTTGTCCAAATTTGCTCATCTATTAAAAATTGCACATAAAAATTGCTCGTCTAGACGGGACTTAATTCAGAGTTCTGAAGTTCAAGACTCAGAGGAGCTGACATTTCTTTAGATTTCTTTCTTTGCCAAAAAATAAATAAATTCAATCAAATATAGAACAGGGAACCCGGTAACGGTAACTTAATGAGAAAATTAATAGAGAACAATGAGAATAAATAAATAGTTCTGAACACAAATAACGCAGGCTCAAGTTTACAGGAAAGTGAGTGAGTGAGTGAGTGATTGAGTGAGTGACAGATTCGTCCCCCTCCAATAACTCTTCGATTGCTTCGCAATCTTCGAGTTAAAAATTGATCCAGGTGCAAAAAATCTTACTAAAATGACCAACAGAAATCCCAAACCTATCACCAATATCCCTTACAAGAAGTCCTACCCTCAACCGTACTGAAACCATAAATAATTCTGTCACAGTACTTAGCTTTCGCTTAGGCCCAGGTTTTTTTGTCATCCTCTTGGTAAGGCCTTGAGTCAGACACATTTTGGTTCCCCCAATACTGAAGTTTGGCCAGTTTTGGTTGTAGGTACTTGTGAAATGCCATAAAAGCTTTGAAGTTGGGCATGCCTGTGTAAAACTGTACAGCTTGATCATMTTCCTTAAATTTTTCAAGTGTAAACTCTCTGCTTTTGAATTYTGCCAGCTCCTTTTCTAAAATGCCAACTTTCCTATTTAAACTGGCCAGCATATCGGCTTTTACTTCAAGCCTTTCCTTCATAGTAGCTATTTGTTCAGCGAGACTACCACTACCAAAGATGAAAGCATATGTATGATCAKTGTGTAGGTCAAAATAAGTAAAATCTTCATCCTCAGTTTGCACARCAACATCTTTCTTTTGCACATTTGATAGTTTCATTTCTGTCTCCATTTCGTCGGCTCCTCTTGTTTGAGATTGTGTGTCATCTGATTCGGTTTCTTTTTCTTCTCCTTCTTCTTCAAGGAAAGAGAGCTCATTGCAGTTTTCCTACAAGATAATATTTAAAAAAAACATTCAGTTAGTTAAGCTCACATAGATGCAAAAAGCAACAAAAAGTCTAGTTTTATATTTAAAGTAACAGTATTATCATAAATAATCACAATCAATAAATTAAATATGATTTAGATTATTAAATATGGTATAGTTATTACTTACATGTACTTCTACATGTACTTCGGATTCAGACAAAACTGTGTTATTAGAGGTAGTGTCCACTGATGTTGGATGTCTCACTGCTTTAATTTTAGTGCTTCTAGGTTTTGGAGGTGGTCTTGTTGGAGTACTGTCTTTCTGTTTCCACATAAACATTGAGGGCAAAACACCTGATGAAGAAAAAAACAATAGTTCTACATGTAATTTTAAGTGTTCTAAGCGTGGATTATCAGTCAAACTACTGATAAATATTTATTTTTGACTTGATATGTGGTCCAAACTCAGTTTGATCAGTTCTTTTACAGTATTTGAGCATAMACATTTGAAGCATACACAAGTCTATATCGTGTTCCTCCAGGTGGACGGTAGATATCGTCTTTGTTGAAATGATCGTCGCATATGACGGTATTTTCTGTGACTTTGAAGCCATCCCTTCCATGTTGACGCTTAATAATGTTGCACCAAACATTTCGTGCCGTGTTCTTCGAAGGGAACTTGAAAAAGTGAACATTTGTTGATAAACCGTCCGAGTTATACTCCCTATTTGTGCACCCAAAGGMAGCACACTCTTTTCCACGACATTCCATTTTAATATGATAAAATTGTAAAAAAAAACACGCCTCTGTGAAACTTTACATATATACTCTCAGTTCTCAGTAGCCTTGTGCAGGGTTAGCCTCACKTGCCTGCGAATCTTTTGTCAAGCGGCTTCCAAAATGAAGGCGGAAAATACGAAAAGGGAGTATTGACCATGAACAGTTTTCCATCAAAAATGTAGGCTTCTTTACAAAAAATGCTAGAATGTTTGTTGATACTGTCCAGATGTTCAGCTCATCTCCAACGAAACAGTTACTCAAAAAGAAAATGATTCTTTAAACAAATACATTGAGGTTCGTTTTTTTCTTAATTGCAACTATAAGTGTATGGAAATGCCACTGGAATCAACATATTGTACTGCTTGTCGCATGCACACTCTACTACTACTGMGCTCCATTTAATAATGCCCAGTCACCCCGGTTAAGGAGTTAAAGCGTTCTTTTCAAAGCATGAACGCCCAGATGTGCAGGACCGATGAACTGCCACAGATAATGTCCAGGACAATCGTTTCTATCGTCATACTTGAAAAAAAAAGGAACCGAAAGAGATCACAAAAACTATTCAATATTTCAAAGTAGCGATAGAACAGCCCTGTCCCTGACCTCGTTTTTATCAGCGCATCGCGCAGATTTGTGGGAAATATGCATGAATGTATGTCAATTATTCCAGAGCTTTTTTTAGGTGCTGCTACATTATGCCATTGTTTCGGTAATTTGTTCGTTGCGAACGAGTCGAAAAAAATATATTACAAGACTGAGGTTGTAAAGTTCATTTTAAGGCTTTGCCTTTTGGCGCATATCATAGTACTACAGTCAGTTACATTAACAATATGGGTGGAACAAAAGAAGACTGTTATAAAATAACTTGGAATATATGRTTGTGGTGTATAGACAGAATTATTTGGTTGAGCTCCTGCCACTTACCAGGCAAAGTTAAAGCTGAAGCCGACAGAGAGAGTCAAGTAAATCATGATAACACTGAGTGGAGACTCAACCCAAAATTGTTTTCTTGAGCAAATATGGTCCACACCTAGAATTGTCCTCTGTGCATCAAGAGTCAATCATCAAGTCGTTCCATATGTAGCATGGAATAGCTTAATATAACCAATTATGGTTATCAAAACTAGGGAAGATACTAATTAATTGTCCCTTATTACTTCCTTGGACAAAGGACACACTAATAATGGCATACAATCCCAAAGAGGTTCACCCACTGAGTTTAAAGATGAGATTAACAGCTTTTAATGTGTCAGGGAATCMTTTAGCAGCTATGGCATATCAAAAGATGCTTCAAACATTATCATGTCCTCATGGAGACCATCGACACAAAGGCAATATGGACCACACATCAGACAGTGGATCTTTTATAGTGAAAGGTACAACAATCAAAGCACATCCACTTTGGGACTTTTCATTGCATTCTTAACCTCACTGTTCACTGAAAAAAATGGGTTATAGTGCAATCAACACGGCACGGTCGGCATTGTCATGTATACTTGGCACAAACTCGGGTCAGCAAATTGGCCAACATCCTCTAATATTGAGGTATATGAAAGGCTTATTCGAGCTTAGGYCATCATTACCAAGAAAGTTCTCTTGGGATCCCGATATTGTCCTGCATTATTTCAAGACATTAGGCCCTTCAACTCAGATAACTTAAAAACAGTTGACTTTCAAATGTGTTACTTTTGTTGCCTTGTTGAGTGCTGAAAGGGCACAAACAATTCATTTGTTAAGCCTGGAACACATGACATTTAGTTCAAACCTTTACAAGTYCAAAATCACACAGCGTATTAAGATGACAAAACCAGGAAAGCATATTCAGGAAATTGAAATTATTCAGAAGACAAAGACTTGTGTATAGTCACAACTCTTGATGAATATATAAAAAGAACTCATTGTCTTAGACATAATAGTCAGGAAAGTTCCCTCTTCATTAGTTTTGTAAAACCACACAAGAATGTATCTAAATCAATTTCAAGATGGGTTAAATCCACTCTTAGAGAGGCTGGAATTGACATTAGCATTTTTACTCCACATAGTACTCGTGCAGCTGCTACAAGCAAAGTAGAACCAACAGTTCCTTTGAGTACCATCTTAAAAACAGCTGCGTGGAGTGGAAAATCCACATTCAGGAGATATTACAACAAACCTATTCATAAATCTGCAGAGTTAGGACTGGGCCTCCTGCGTCTAAGCCAGAAAGAAGCTGATTAGAAACTTTGGACAATTATAAGTTAGWACACTCATATTCAGGCATATGAACAGGGCTTTAAACATGTCACGTGATCCCGTAGTATCGATTGGTGAGGTGGWATTAAAAATTAAACGAKACWTACCTGTAAGTTGAAGTTGAGTTTTAATTTTGGAACATTTCTGGCCACTCAACGTCATGCCAAAATAATTCTGAGCTGATGCCTTTTTCAACATTTCTTTATAGAAACGCTGTATGTTTTTGTAATCAATATCAAGTGAGTAAAAGTCTCCTAAAATATCATAGCTTCAAAATTCTCTCATCTTAATTTCCAATATCCCAACATTCAACTCAAAAGACCAAACGCTATTTCATGTTGCAAAACAAAAGAACTTTTGTCTTATTGCCTTATTGTCTTATCTTTGACAGATCATGCATACTGTTATCAAGTACAGGCACAATTGTTTATTTGTGATCTTGATTGTTGTTTGGACATTAGAGGATATCTATATTGAATACTGCCAGACCATGTATTTTGGAAGAATATGCACTTGCTAAGGCAACTAAGCTATCCAGGATGGCAATTTTTCCTGAACTTGTGGTATAGGCCAAGAMGCACTTCCTTCGAAGCGGTCGAGTTTAGGCAAGGAGTGTGTTTTGGCAAAGTGTAATAGCAGGCAATATAATAGCAATGGCACTCCTACGGATATACATTTCTTTAAATTTCCTACCAAGAATCCTGCTGGAAATAGATGGTTTTGTTGTTACCGATTATACACTTATTTGCGATAAACATATTTAACCTGAAGACAGTTCAAAACAAACAATCGAGGAACAGAGGAACTATATTGAAAAACTTGAGCAAAAACTACAATTACAAATATATTCAAAAAGTCCGCAATACTTAAACACAGCTTTGAATCTGGTCATGAAACTGTTAAGTTAGAAAACGCTATTATTTTAGCGTCAAAATTTAAAACATACAAACAAAGGAGAATCGCCGAAGCGCTTTATATAAAAGAACAAAAACCACCCTTGAATGAACAGTGTAATGACGTAGTTATTATCACGTGATTATGTAAGCACATGTGTAGCTTGTAGCTCGGTGTGTTTGTGATTAAATTCAGTTAAGCAGATCGTGTGGATTCTGTATCTTTAAAGATGTTACATTGGCGACGAGGATAAGTAAGGATACGTAAGGCCTCGAGAAGTTCATTCTGTTAAATCAGGGAAGAGAATTATGGCGACAATTGCGAATTTTGGCGGAGAAATTGAGCATTTCGACATGGACGCCGATAAGTCAAGTTTAGCTGCAAGATGGCTTGAATGGAAATCGTCAGCTAGTTATATGATTAAGRCAAAAGRAATTACGACTCCAACACAAAAAGAGGCGACACTGCTACACACAGCTGGAAGGAAGCTGCAAAAGGTCTACGGAACTCTACCGGAACCGACAGGATTKGCGGATKATGCAAATGTTTTTGATAAAGCACTAGCAAAGTTGGATCGTTACTTCGATGGAAACGTCAACCAGCTCTTCGAACGACATAAATTCCGTTCATTGCGCCAAGAATCATCGGAGTCAATAGCTCATTTTGTGTCCCGATTAAGGAGACAAGCGGATTTTTGTGGTTTTGGCGATACAAGGAACACACAAGTGCGAGATCAACTCATCGAAGGTTGTTTATCGCCAAAACTCAGGTTAAAGCTCCTAGAGAGAGGCAACGAGCTATCATTGGATGTTGCTCTACAGATGTCAAGCTGTTATGAGTCTGTAACTCAGCAAGC